GGGGGGGGGGGGGGGGGGGGGGAGTAGGCTAGGCTACTTGTTATTTAAGCATTTACAACAAGGAGGACATGAGTCCACTACATCCTCCCTGTCACACATTATGCTGATTATGTCATTTGTAAAAAGTTTGAAATAATACTAAATAAAACAAAAAAGCCAAATAGAAGCATTTTTAGAAGCATGATCTCAGACTCAAAACCCCACTGAAAAATATATGGATGATGATGATGATGATGATGATAATGATGATGCAGCTGAATAAAATGTTGCTCACTAAAGTGATGGGGGGTGTTGTTTGTTTGTCAGCTGATTAAAGAATTTCGAGACGATGAAATGGAGCACCATGACACTGGACTGGAGCATGATGCTGAATCAGTAAGTCTGAATTATTGGCATGACAGAATGTCTTGCATGAACTACAATATTAAAATATAAATAACAGTAATCATTTTAATGTTTGTTTTTCAAGAGCCACAGAGATGTTTTTGTTCTGCCATTTTATGTATCACTGACACATGATGCGGGTGCTTGGATATCAGCTGATGAAAGCAATCATACAGGTGGGCTTCAATCTATGTCTCAGAACGTCTCAAACTATTTTTAGAGTATTTAAAAGAGTTAACCTGATATCTTGTAAATATGGATGCTACTTTTTCTATCTTTAAAGTGTTAAAATATTTTCTACTACACCAGCTTAATATGCAGATAAGCTATTTTGGGTTGATTTCTCTGAAATGTGTAAACACTGTGGTTGCTCTGTTTGTTTGAGCATCCCATCCTGCCCAACACAGTAATGTAGACTCAATCAATATCATAAGTTTGGGCTGGGACTATCTCTTTGTGTAACCAGTAGGAGAAAGGAGGAATATTTAGAAAACCTGTTTTAAAAAAATATATACATTTTGCAGTTTCAATGTAGTGACATTAGTGTTGTAGAAGTTACATACAGCAGTATTAATACATTTAAAATCTATTTATTGCGATTTTATACATGGCCAGAGGTTTTATCTCATTCTGCAGGGTATATTGAAGAATAATATACTGTAATTTTCTGTCAGTCATGGTTGTGTTGTTGCCATTAAAGTCAAGTGTCTTTACAGGATGTGTGTTTGCAAAAAACACTTTAAACACAAGAGGGCAGTCTTTGCCTGTACAAATTAATGTGCCGCCAGCAGTCACAACTGGGCGATCTGGATTCAACTGTTGAAATAATTTTTTGTCACAAAAGAGAGACAACACACATATATAATATGCTATAAACATGCTCATTTGTTATCTTATACTATGCTTATACTGCCAGAGACCTTTGCATAGATTATTAGGGGAAGTTATCACACCGGTGGCTATGAAAACATGTAACGTAATCTGTGTAGCAGACGCGGGAAACAGCTGTCTCCATCTCCCTGTGGTTCCCATGACTTAATCTATGAGTGCATGAAGTCATCCTGGACAGTCCACCGAGAGTTTGAGACCCTGGCCTTCAGTTCTAATATCTGAGGGTTTTTCCAGTATGTTGCCAATGGTTGAATTTGGTTTGACAAGAGAGAGCAGCCTATGAGAATTGCACAAATTATGCTTCAGGGCCCTTCCTCCACTTTGTCTAGAGTCTTTTATGCTGACTGAGCTGGATAAAAGTTCTTGAGAGGCCTGTTTAGTTTGGCAGGTTCTGTTAGGGGGCAGAGCTACTGTATGCTCGCATTCAGAGAGAAGGAGGCTGATGCAATCCCAGTGTAACTACAAGTGTTCCTCAGCTTTCAGTGTACCATCAACTGTGACCACATGTAACCCTTAACAGACTCAAAGTTTGTGAGGTTTTCAACTGCCCACTAGCCACAGGCTGCCTCTTGCCCTTACTTCCTTTCTCTCCTACTTTTGAAGGTTTTTATTTCTAAACATATTCCTCTGTATATTGCATTGCTTAATGTGATGCAGAAGCTGCAAAACAAACTTTTGTTCACATGATGTGTCAGAGGAAGCTGACCCATGTGGAAACACTGCATAAGCTGCTCATTGTGAACAGATCATATGTATTTAAGTCTTAATAGCACACCGTTTCTAAGAGCTAAAGCTTTTTTACATAGACTTAAATCTCTGGATATTTGAGTACAGTATATAACACAAAATATCTCTGGATATTTGATTGTCAAATATTTACCAGTATTAAAGGTATCAAGAGTAGTAAAGGTCTTAAAAAAATCTGTTTCTCTTTTATTAGCATTTAGCACTTAGCATAGCTTGCTACAAACAAGTTTTGACAGTGTATGTGTTGTGCTTAAACGCTTATGCACAACTTAGTCTTATGAATCATGTAATTGTGAGACTGTTTCTCAGAGCTTGTATCCCTCAGGACACAGATGCTAACCGCAAGACATTCTTTTTACAGGCAGAGAGCTGCATTCAACTCGATGGTAAATGCAAATCATCGGTGCATTTATCTGTTGTTTTGTAGTTGCTGTTACCATTTAGACAGCTTGATATTTTTAGAGAGGGCCACACTGATCAAAATAGCATAAGGAGTTTGATAAGAAGGTAAATGGCGGAAAAGCAGCAGTAATTGCCTCCTGTCTGTTGCCATTTTAAGTTCCCTATCATGAACATCACTTCCTTCCTCAGTCATCTGCTTAGTCCCAATAGACTATTTATTTTGTTATCTAAACAGTTCCTGTCTCTGTGTTTATCCTCTGACAGGTCATACAGGTTTGTGTGACTTAGACAGGTGCTGCTATGTTGTGCATCTCTGAGTGTCCTTACTTGATAATTGTCTGATGTGAAATGCTGACTGACTTTATTTGCTTAAATTCAAATTCTGTACACAGGACTTTATGCATATGGGATAGTCTGATTAGGGCACTTGGCTGTATTTGACTAAGCTTTGAATAAGCCATTCTAAAACCTTATGTCCATAAAGCAAGATAATATTAAAAGGCTTATGTCCATACGGCAGCATAAAATAATTTTGTGGACTGAATAAGAGAGCTGACAGTGGTTTCTTGTTCAGTATCACAGGGTCAGGGGTGACCGGGGGTGGTCTCACGCTGAGGTTTGGGGTCAGTAACGGATCAACAAAGATACTGATTTCTTGCTGTGACACTCACTACACAGAGAGTAGTGTGAAATACTTTGTGTGTGTGTATACAGTGTTTCTGTAAACATTCTTAATGACCTTCTGTGTAGTTTATAGGGGCCACACCCCTACTAACTTATTCCTAGCAATTTGCTAAAGGAGTTTTGTGATGGTATTATTGAAAAATAATTCCCTTTTGTGTTCCACAGAAAAAAAAACTCATACAGATTTGAGTTTTTGGATGAACTGTCCTTTAATTATTGCACCCTTTATTATTAACATTTTAAATGTTTATCATGTGGGTGGTTTTTCAATCCGTGCATGTATTTAGAGGTAGTCATGTTGTGTAAATAAAAAAAAGTCAAGGGCCCATTCTGTCAGTAGGCACTTCCCATTTTGAGGTCTGTTTCTTTAAGAGAAGAGGGAGGAGGAGTGTCGACAGGCTCTGAGTTTTGAACGTCTATTTTTTAAACAGAAATTCCTCTCTCAAGGGTTTGGCATTTCCTCTGAGCTCACACACTGAGAGCCCGCTCTCCTGTTTCACACAGTGCTCACTTGCAACAAAAGCGGGGATTTTCAAACATCCTGAATGAGAGGAATCCTCTTGCCCTCAGCACACGCCGCATCTACAAAGAAACTTCACAGGGTGAACTTCCCCTTTCACAACAGTTTATGCTTGAGGGGACGGAAAGAACATCAGCTTGGTCTTTGTTTTCAGCATCTGGGCGAGTGGTTCAGCATGGGCTAGCCCCAACTTTTGCCGTAGAGCTGGAGTGGACTGGAAGAGAACAAGAAGGAGGAGGATGAGCGTTTATACTCTCAACCTCAGGTTGTTCTGGCCGCTGGTCACTTGCATTCTCACTGCTCTCCTGCTGTTGCACCAGTACATCTTCAGAGGGTCCGAGGACCAAGGGAATGACTGCGCTGACCAGGGACCTGGAGCTGTCACGCTCTTCAAGTACATCCTAGCTTTTATCTTATTTTACTTCTTCATAAAGTACTGCTCAACTCAACCTGGCACTGCTAGGAGGGGTTTCCACAAAGTCCCGGAGGTACACGGAAAATCAGGAGTCTCCAAGAGAGAACTACTAGACGATCACTACGAGAGGCATGTGCGTCTTTCTCCACATGTGCTGGGCCACAGCAAAGCCCATGTTGCCAAGCTGGTGAGTGAACTTGTCAGGGTGGGTCGCACCGATGTCCCGCCGGAGTCTTCTCTGGCCTTCCGGGGTGACTTCATCCAGATCGGCAGCTCCTATGAGGAGCACAAGGTGGGCTCACCTGACTGCTTTGACATCATCCTGCCTCTGAGGGCACCTCGTGGGCTAAAAATGGAAGCCGGTGTTTGCACTGACAAACCTGGAGGGCCACCGCTTTGCACGCTAAACACACCTCGCAAAGCGGAATGGACACGCCGTCACAAGGCCTTCATGGACACGTTCATGCACTTGCACAATGCTCAAAGTATCTATAGGATGAGCCCAGATTCCGTCCAGCGCTGGTTTTACACAGCTACCCAGCGCCGCCTCGCTGCCGTCCGTTACCCGTTTGAGCAGCGCTGTTCCCTTAGCCTGTCCTTTAGTGAGGAGCAGCAGGTGCTCCTCCGTCTGACCCCCCGCTCCGATTACGTCTGCTGCCACATCTCCATGGGCATTCGCCTGATCCCAGCCTTTCCTCTTGGTGATGGCGCCTTCTTGGTAGCATCCCAGCAGGGTCAGCAAGGAGAAGACCTTTGGACAGTGTACTTTCCCAGACAGGAGCAGAGACTGCTGGCGTGGCTAAAAGGTAGACTACCCCCCAACTCGTGTCATCTGAAGTGCCTTCAGCTCCTTAAAGAGGTACGTAACCTCAGTGGGGAGACTCTGGACCAGCAGTCTGGAGCTGAATGGGGAGGAGTGCTTTCATCCTATGCTTTGAAGACGGCTTGGCTTCATCTACTGCTCAGTACACCCCCTGAAACCTGGGATGAGTGCAACCTTGTGGACCGGTTGGATGATCTTCTTCGCAGTCTAAGGGAGAGCTTACAGTCTCGGGCTCTCTGCCATATACTCCTCGGAGGCGTTAGTGGGTTTCTGCCAGACTCTATCGTTCTGCCCAAACTCGTAAAGGAGACGGTACCCTCCAACCTGTGGGCAGAATTCAGTGACGTCACCCTCGATATGGTCTCCGCCCGACTAGCCTACTCCTGGAACCACCTCCCTCGCCTAATTCGCCTCGGGCGACCACAGAGGACCAGTCTTGGCAGAGGTGTCCGCTGCAAATATATTGATGCAGAGTAAAGGTCAACTATAGCTGGTATTGCTGAACACAAACAGATGTTGATTACAGATGCTGTTTATGTTCTCGGAAAATTTATGTCAGATTAAATTGGGGTTTTTTCCCCCAAAGGTAGCAGTCAAAGACAAGAATGTAAATAGTAGCGTTCAGTAGGTACAGCGATATTTTTATCAAATCAGTCTTTGCTCTGTACAAATAAGTATTGTACTGTAATTGTAGGACGTTCTTTGAAAAGCAAGGTCATTAGAATTTCAGTTTGTGTTTATTTTCTTCTCATGCAAATTTATTTAGTATTTCTAGAGAAAAATTCTGATATGTTAAAATTTGCTGTTTGAAAGAACAGTAACCATTTTATATATTTAGTTCACTCCAGGTGTTAGTTTGGAGATAAAACTCACGCATCTTAGCTGCTAGACTTGTGTTGACTCAGGGTGACCATGATGTCTCGGTTATGGGGTAGTGAGTTGTCAAAACAGCATAAACACCAAAGTTTTTCCACACCCACAAAGTATTAGTAATGCCAGCCTAAACAGATGAACATCTTGTTTTGAAGGGGAGAACTGCAGTGTGACCACTGTAAAAATATCTTCTGCTGTGACATTTTGATCAAACAATGTAAAATGTATAGCCTGATCATTGCAAAAAACCTGACAGACCCTAATATATCCTTTATTTTGAAAGAAAAAATTATTAATATTTTTTCATAACTGTAGCAATTTCAGTATTGTTTGATTGATTGCTTAAGAGTTCCATAATTGGTGCTTTAGATCACCTCAGTTCATTACCTAATTTGGTCCTCTTAAGGATAAGGCACTGATGGCGTGCCCTTTGCTTCACTTCATCTTACTTGTCTACAGGGACCCCAATATGTTTGCACATGATCTTCTCCCTCAGAGACATGCCTCTACAGGTTGTCACCATGGAGACACGCTACCTCAGCCCAGGGTCACTTATTCATGCTGTAGCTTTAGTTTTAATGGCTGATTGCATTTACTTTCACAAAGGAAGCAGAGGTCTATTGATCTCTTGCAGGTACTAAGTGCCACAGGGTTAGTTTGTTAGTCTCTTTCCTGTTCATACCTCATCCATCAACCTGTTCTTGAACAAAGTGCTCATGTATGTCAGACATATCTTAGTTTCATCAACTTCACAGGGAAATGTTTGTGGTACCTAAGCAAAAGTCTTTGAGGCTTATTTTTGTCTGTTGTCTGCAAGCAGAACAGAAAATGAAATAAGGAAATGAAACAGGACACGCTCTGAAAACAATCCTTAAATGTAGTCCAAAACAAGTCATATAAAATACAGAGTAACTAATGTTGAATGTATATTTATATGTATAATGTATATGTCATTTAATGTATATTTGGTACTGTATGTGAATGTAAGTTAATTGTAAAGCACATTGTACTTGATGTACATATTAGAGAAAAACAATCTGTGTGTGTGTGTGTGTGTGTAGTAGACATAATTTATACGTGTACTTTAATACATTAATTGAAATAAATATCTATATTTTGGACTGCACACAGTTTTGTTGAATATTTGCTGTTTGTAACACTTAAAACAATTTTTGACAGTGGTAGAGAAAATAGAATATGTAAACAGAATAATTTAAATAATTTTAATTTAATATTTTTTTTTTTTTAGAATAAAAAAACAGCAATTTATTATTTCATTTTATTTGCCATATTTTTTTCTATAAACAGCTGGTGCGATTGTCTTCATTTAAAAGAAATATACATGATTCAGGTAAAAAAAAAATTTTTTTTTAGCAAATGGCTGCAATATAACAAAGAGTGAAAAATTTAAGGGGGTCTGAATACTTTCCGTACCCACTGTATATAATTTTTTTGAATGCAGTCTATACATTTGTCTCATGACACAGCACAGCTTGCTCTTTTTCATTTTAGTATTTTATTTTTCATAATACTAAACTCCAAACTTGTTTATTTTCACTCAGGCACAGTCACCGTAATTATCTTCTGTATAGTCTTGTTTTTCAGTGTTTATTCTCAATTGAGTGTTATGTTTAGAGCAATGTGGCTCAGTGTAAATTGTAGTTTGGCATAAACCTGGTGCTCTCTAACATAAGGATATCATCTCATCCTTTCTAATTATCATTTAATTTATGCACTTGCTTGCAGGATTTGATTTGTTGGCAAAGATGACCACAGCTGTAGTCATGGACATATGATTGCATTGGAATGTGGGTGCCACAAGAGGTCAGTATGTGTTTGGGGGACAAATAATTTAGGATAAAAAGAGTTTAATTGAAAACAAAGTAAATTCAGCTTTTTTTAACAATCTCACAGTATGCAAGGTAAAATGCTCTGTATCTTTATAGTGTCTAGCTCCCTCTAATAATAATTTCAAATGTGACAGATGTCTTGGGTGTAGGTGGGCCATATACATTTACTCAAACTTTCTCTATGAACCCAGTCATTTGGAACTTAAAGTGGATATATGGCACCTAAATTTAAAGGAATAGTTCACCCAACATTCCTGCAATCATTTTCGTAATATGCTTCATGTTCACCCTGAACGCTCAAATGACTTACTTTAGCAATTCGTCAACAACAATATATTTGCATCTGTCGAGCTCCAAAAAAAGCATCATAAATGGTCATATATTCCAAGCTTTCTGAAATCAAATGATAGTTTTGTGTGTGGAACAGACTGAAAATTAAGTCATGAATAAGTTATTTACTTGAAATTTTGCCTGCCAGCTGGGGTCACCTTTCAGTTTAATTGTACAGAAAAGAGTAGCTTGGACATTCTACTATAAATACTGTAACCCTTTTGTGGAAGTCATATGGGTCAAAAGACACTGTGAGAAAATGACAGAATTGTCATTTTGGGTGAACTATGTCTTTAAAACATAGCAGAAAGATGCCTGATGTGACAGCAGAGGTCACTGTAAGTCTATGTTTAATTTTTTTTTTCAGGCATCCACAAGGTTCTCAAGAACAGAAACAAGTGAAGCGTCTGAAATCACACAATCTCTCTCCCTCTCAGTATTTTTCTGTCTGCGTTCAACTGTTTATCATATCATCCTTCCATCATAAAAATATGAATATTTTCCCTCATCCATGCATTTGTATTGAAACAATGGGTTGCACTTGAAATCTCTTTTAAATTCCTTAATGGTTTCTTAAGTCTTATTTATTTCGAATGTTGTGATTTCTCAGTTCTGTTCTGTTCTGTTCTGTTCTATTCCATGTGCTGACCTAAAACTTCCCAAGTATTATTTACTCCCAATGTTCTTCTATTTAAACATCTTAGATTTTTCCTTGCCCATGTCACTTTTTGGCTTCCTCACTAGTTAGTTTGTACAGCACTAATTTATTACTAATTTGTTTACTATTTTATTACCAATTTATTTACTAATTTATGCACATTTTTTTTTTAAGTCTCTTATGCTCACAAAGGCTGCATTTATTTGATCATAAATGAGTAAAACCAGTAATATTGGGAAATATTAGTACAATTTCAAAGAATTGTATATATTTTTTAAATGTAAGCTGAATTTTCAGCGGTCAATAAACCAGTCTTCAGTGTCACATAAGCCTTTAGAAATCATTTTAATATACTGATTTGCTGCTCAACATTTCTGAAAATTTTTTATTTTTTTAAAGGGGTCATATGATGCGATTTCAATTTTTCCTCTCTCTTTGGAGTGTTACAAGCTCTTGGTGCATAAAGAAGATCTGTAAAGTTGCAAAGACTAAAGTCTCAAATCCAAAGAAATATTCTTTATAAAAGTTCAGAGTCAGTCACAACTACCTAAAACAGCTCGTTCTAACACGCCCCAACATACCTACGTCGCTCTGTGGGAAGATTTGCATAACGCCGCCCAAATGTTCACGCAAAGAAAGAAGGCCTAACTTTTATTCTCACTGTAGTATTGTTGCTGCCGCCATGTCCTGAAGACGCTGTGTGCTTCGTTGTGAAAGCGAAACTACTTTGTTTGGTCTTCCAAAAGAGGACGATATCCGCTTCGTCATGCCTAGAGCTTGTGCTGTGCTGGTTGCTGAGGGAACACATACATTTTCACAGTGGACGAAGCAGAGTCCAGCCTGGGGTCGTCTCATGTGTTTGCCGCTCATTCGTCGGATCCGCCGGGTGGGCCGTTCTCGACCCCACCGCCTCTGCTCACTCTATCCCGGCCTTAGCGCATGCTAAGCCGGGGCTTCGGCTCTTTGTTTGGTTTCCAAAAGAGGACACGACTAGAAATCAGTGGTTAAGTTGTATTTACAACACTGTTCCAGAACAGTTTAACCCAAATATCCAGATGTGTGCAGCACATTTTATGGAGGACTGTTTACTGATCCTGGGAGAGTTGACTACAATGCCGGCAGTTCTGACTCACAGTCTGTAAGTACGTTTTTATTTAAAGGATTTGCAACTGATGATTCAAACGCGAGTTTTGGGCAGTGTAGAGTAGCACTTGCCGTTTGTCAATTCTCTGATCACAAATGCAGACAGAGTTTTATGTTTACGCGGCATGATGCAATGCAATGCAATGCAATGCAACGCAACGCGTAAAAAGACAGTAGAGGTCATTATAATCAGTAATTATGTCCCAACTGGATGCAACAAATGCCTCGTTTGTAATGGGTTTTAATGTTTTTGTCTCGTCGCTCCGGCCGGACACGGCATCAACAGTATGGTGAGGGGCGTAACATTTCTGTCACACGCTTGAGGTATTCGGCCAATCACAATGCATTGGATAGCTGGCCAATCACAGCACACCTCGCTTTTTCAGACCGATTAGCTTTGTAAGAATCGACACATTTCAGAAAGGCAGGGCATATAGGAGAAACAATAATGTACAGTATGTGGGAAATAATGTTTTTTTTTACTTTAAACCGCATAAACACATTTCATTATACCAAATACACAAAATAATGTTCTTTTTAGCAGCATCATATGACCCCTTTAATCAATGTTGAAAGCAGTTGTCCTTCTTTATTTTTTTGGTGAAAACTATAATTCTATTTTTTTTTTTATTCAAGATTCTTTGATGAATAGAAAGCTCAAATGCTCAAAATAGCATTTATTTGAAAAATAAATCTTTTGATCAATTGCATGTTTCCTTACTGTATAAAACTCAAAAATAAATTTGATAAATAATTTCAAAAAGATAAAATAAAATAAATCTTATTGACTAAAACTTTTTAACTGTAGTGTATGTTTTTCAGGTGCTGTAGTTTAGTCAAACACTCTCTGTGAAATTTTAGACCCCAAAACCTGACATGCTCCATACATGCCGAGTTTGGTGAGCAAGGCCTTTTAGCAACAGGTCATGTGCCACTGCCGTTTCCAAGGAAACTTACTTTAAAGTTCCTTGTGATCTACCCACTCAGATTACAATGTTGCACCACAAATGCCCATCCTGTCATACAGTTGGTATAGAAAAGAATCACTCCCCTTTAAAATAATCACATTTTGTTGCAGCCTGAAATGAAGACGGTTTTTGTTTTATCCAGCTACTGTATTTATTTACTGCAACTTATAACTTTCAAGTGAAAGATATACACCAAAAAGTTTTTTTTAATAAAAAAAAATAACAGAATCACTGAGTTGGAAAAAGGATCACCACCTTGTGTCAATATTTTGTTGAACCACCTTTTACTTTAATTACAGCCTTTA